TGCCATATATGTCACTGGTATTGAAAGGGGGGAAGTATGTTGATGTCGACATAACTGTGGGTGGGAAACATTTGAATTATTGGAATGTCTGAGACCCAAGGAATGATCAGTTTCATCAACAGCAAGAAACAAGTTTGTACCTTTGGATTTCTTCTCCATCTATATGTGTGTCTCCTCCAATACTAGTTATAGGTGCAAAAGCATGGGCTGTGATTTCACCTCTGTTGTTAAAAGGACCAAAGTCTCCATGGGCCCCATGTGTAAAATAAATAGATCATAGTGTTGGCCTCACCCATGTTAATCTTCCTGAACTTCAAGGGGTCCACTCCATACTTGAAAAGCATTCTGGTTGGCATCTGGCTGGTTAACATCCTCTAGCACCTTGTCAGGAGTATCATTTTGGGTTTTGTAGGTGATAAGATGTTTCTTCCATACTGGCCTCCCTGGTGTTGTAATGATGCACTTCAGACGCACCATCTGAGGGGCTTGCATCATTACCAGATTAGATGTATCCAGTTGCCTGGTCACTTTTAGCTCCAAGAACTACTGCATTTCCTGGGTTTTATTTTCCATTGACTTGCATGTTTGTTATTGGAATTCTTTCCACATGGTAGCCATAAAAGGTTTCTAAGTATCTTTTAACAAATACCAAATCATTTTCTTCTAGGCTTTTGTCAGGGAACAGAGGAATAGCTCCAGAAACAGTGACTTGAAGGACCAATCGATAGGAGAAACTTCATTCTAAACACCTAATTACTCAACCCAGCGTACTCTGATCCTTTGCAGTCTCTTGACCACATTCTTAAAGGACTAGAAATTAAATACGGGTGGGGACGTGATAGACATTGCCAGATGAGAAAACAGCACGTATGGGGAGGTGTGACTATACTTGGAAATTTTCCCAGTTGCTGTTCATTATTCATGGCTAGGCTCCTGATGCTGTAGGATAAGCATTGGACTACTAACTGAGAGGTTGTCCAGCTGTTCTTGGAAACCTTATATAGAGTCATTATGAGTCGGAACCATCTCGATGGCACTTAATAGGAACAACAGTATTCCAGATAAGTTATTAAATCAAACACAGTTGTGGCTTTATTTTGCTAGCTGAGTGAGAGATCATTAACCTGCTTTAACCTGCTTTAATTCTGTCTAGAAGCTAGATAGGAAAGAGTGACTTAACTTCTTAAGGGTGGGAGCAGTGATGGAGGAATTAAAGTATATCAGAGGATTATTTACCTCAGGAAAAGGAGAATGATGACAAAATTACAAATATCCTGACTTTGATAAAAAGTCTTAACTGCTACAGAGTTCATAGATGTAATTTTCAGGAAGAGGTATAATAGTCTTATTCTGTGACCATTGACACCCAATAAAATACACTCCCGTAAGGCTAAGAAGTAATTGCCTTGTTGTTGTTAGGTGCTGTTAAATTGCTTCCTACTCATAGTGACCCTGTGCACAAAAGAACGAAGCGCTGCCCGATCCTGCACCATTCTCTCAATCCATCCTCACAGTTGTTCTTACGCTTAAGCCCATTGCTGCTGCCACTGTACCAGTTCATCTCGTTGAGGTCTTCCTCTTTTTCTCTGACCCTTCATTTTACCAAATATGTTAGCCTTCTCCAGGGACTGCTACCTCCTGAACATATGTCTGAAGTATGAAAGACATAAGTCTGACCATACTGGCTTCCAGGGAGCATTCTGGCTATACTTCCTTTTTGTTTTTTTATGTATCATTTAATTAAAAAAAATTTTTTTGTTTTCATAGAATACATTTTCACATTAGAGATGCCCAAAGAAAGAAGATAGCAGTTTGTTACTTTTTAGTTTTGTATTTGTTGGCAGATTATTTAAGGATATTTGAAGGATATGTCTCAGTTTGCCATCTATATTTTAATACATCTACAGGGAATGGAACTTCTCTATATTCAAACATTCTCCAAGCTTTACCTCCTGAAATTCAGAAATTAGGGAGACATTCCCTCATTTTAAAGTTTTACTAGGACATGTAACGAAGCTTCAACAGAAGAGCATGAAAAACAGAGGAGGATGTTTCCAAAAATTTAAGACAGTTAAAAATTTCTGCAAAATCTTTACTTACAAGTTAACGAACATTCCCATTGTCCATCATTCCTAGAACAAATATCGAAGAGGTATGATCGTAATATGCTGATAGTAACAAGTTAAATTCCCATTATTAGATTGATAAAAGGCACACGCTCATATTCAGTGTTTTGTTATGAGTCTTCTAAAAAGCTAGGAGACAATCCCATTATCTCACCAGAATATGGAAGGCAGTCTCAGTATTCTGTGAATAATAATTCCTCTCAAGCCTTTTCCTCCAAGATTAAATTGTGAAAAGAATCAAGTGATTAGAAGAGGGTTGCCTTATCAATGGACATCTGTTATTTCCTTCTTATTGATAGTTGAATAGGGTGACAGAGCAAAGGCAGAGAGGTGTACAATTATTTTTTAAGGGACTAAGTCAAAAGTCAGAGCTTCCACAGCATGGCAACAGCTTTGCAGATGCCTTACATCATGATAGTTGAAATTGCACAGACCACCAAAGGTTAAAGCCAAGAGTGCCAGGAGGCCAGCCTTGGCAGCTTTCAGTGGTGCATCCTCATGGATATAGTCAGTAACAACCTGTCCCAGGCCCCAGTGACCATGGAGAGGGAGCACTGCAGCTAGAGAGTAGTCCATTGAGAACAAGGATTCAAATAGGCAGCTGGGCGCAGGCCCAGGAGCAAAACACTGACAACCCTCTCACCAGTCCAATGGAGAGATGCAGCCTTGGGGACAGGTGAATGTGCTGCTCTCCTGGAGTAGACCGGTCCTGGAGAAATGCTGAGATAAGAGCTAGGTCTGATCACTGGAGTTCAGAGGAACAGAGAGAGTTCAGGCTCCTTGAGCACCGCAGACAACACTCAGCCTCCAGACCACCGCCATGTCTGTCTGTACTTCTTTCAACACAGATTTGTTTGTTCTTTTGGCAGTTTGTGGTGCTTTTAATATTCTCCTTCAACACTATACCTCAGATGAATTAATTTTTTCCAGTCTTCCTTATTCACTGTCTAAATTTTGCATGCATATGAAGTTACTGAAAATACTATGGCTTGGTTCAGGCACACCTTAGTCTTCAAATTGACAACTTTGCTCTTCAACACTTTAAAGAGGTTTTGTGCAGCAGAATTGCCTAATGCAATAATGTTATTTGATTTCCTGATTGCTGCTTCCATGAGTGTAGATGGTTGATCCCAGCAAAATGAAGTCTTTGACAACTTCTGTCTTTTTTTCCATTTGTCATAATTTATTGGACAAGTGGTGAGGATTTTTATTTTCTTTACATTGAAGTGCAGTCATACTGAAGATTGTGGTCTTTGATTGTCATCAGTATTTTAAGTCCTCTTTGCTTTCAACAAGCAAAGTTTTATCACCTGTATGTCGCAGGTTGTTAATGAGTCTTCCTCCCATCCTAATGCCATGTTGTTCTTTACGCAATCCAGCTTCTTGATTTTTTTTCCTCAGCATATAGATTGAATAAGTGTGGTGAAATAATACAACCCTAGTGCACACCTTTCCTGATATTAAACCATTCAGTGTCCCCTTGTTCTGTATGAACGACTTTGTCTGTGTAATGGTTTCTCATGAGCACAATTAAATGTTCTGGAATACCCATTCTCTGCAGTGTTATCCATAGCTTGTTGTGATCCACACAGTTGCTAAATATTTAAAAGGACTCCTGTGTGGACTGCTAACCACAAGTTCAAACCACCAGCTGCTCCTCAGAAAGTCTATACAGGATCACTGTGAGTTGGAACTGACTTGATGGCACTGTTGCAACAGTTTTTAAAAAGCAAAATTTAATTTGTTTAATTGTTATGTTTAATTGTTAATGATAGTTCTGTCAGGAAGTCAGCCCCAGATCTGGTGTACAAAAGTAACCATGATTCAGTTTGGGTTGTACAGCTAGTGGGAGTCATATACAAGAGGAAAACTTTATTTTATCTTGACTGCTGAGTTAAGTAGATGATGTGTGCCTGTTCTTTCATTATTACTCAGGATAAGTAAAGAATCTTTAGGCACTAAAGCAATTTGATTGTGTATGGCCATGTCTCCTGATAATCTTAATCAGATTCCTGTTGTCTTGTCTGATTTTCTCTTTTTCATGAGCTCAGTGTGTTTCTACATTAGCTCCAAAATGTAGTGTTCTTTTTCATTTTTTAAAATCTAAAATAATTTTTTGTCTTCGTTTAAAAATAATTCTCTCCTAAGTAGAAAAATCCTAGTCAAGTAGGAGGAATAGAATCCAGGCAGTGCTGTAAGCTTTGAGAATACATCATTGACAAAATAGACTTAGTAAATGCTTAGCTACAAGGAGCTTACATTCCATTGGGCAAGTCAGATAATAATTACTATAATTAAAAAGTAAATTATAGGTTAGAATATCCTAAGTGTAATGTGTAAAGATCATGAATTGGGGAGAAATTGATGGTACTTTGAGAGTTCTGAGGTACAGGTCATTTGAGAATTTCAGTTATGGTGATAGGTGTTACTAAATAAGTAACGTTTGAACAAAATCTTTGTGAAAGTAAAGCAGTAAGTCATGTGAATACGTGAATATTCTAGATAGAGGGAAGCAGCTAGTACAAAAATTTTGAAATGGGAATGTGCTTGCCATATTTGAGAAACAGAAAGGAGGACATTGTGACCAGGTGCAGTGAGCCAGGAGGCGAATACTAGTAGGGGAGAGTGGAGGGTTAATGGATTGGGGTTGGACATTTGGCCACGTGAGTACTTTGATGTTAAATTAAGTGAAATTGAAAATAAACTCTTAAGATCAAATGGGGTCAGGGAAAGATAAATAATCAGAGTAGGAGCTCTTAGTAACTTCTAGTCTTAGGATAGCATTAATTAATATGTTTTTACTAGACATAAGATTATGGCAAAACAAACAATGAAGTTCTTTGCTCATATTTTGTACTTTATTTTTGATTGTAGGGACTGTCAGTTACCTTGATGATGTTCCATTTAAGATAGGAGACAAATTCAAAACACCAGCTAAAGTTGGTCTACCTATTGGCTTCTCCCTGCCTGATTGTTTGCAGGTTGTCAGAGAAGTACAGGTAAGTGGTAATTTTTAGTTACAGTTTTGTGTGCTTAAAAATTAAATAAAAATTTGATGCGTAGTGAAATAGAGAAAGGCATTCTCATACCTCTCATTTGTATTTCTTATAGCGCCTATTACTGACAGGCTCATCTTTTCATACACATAAACATACACATATTTATATATGTGTGTATGTGTACATATACATGTGTGGCCATCACTTGTCTGTCAGTTTGTCATACTGTGTTGACTTGCATGTTGCTGTGATTGTGGAAAATGTGCCATGGGTATTTTAAATACCGGCAAGGACACCCATGGTGGATAGGTTTCAGATGAGCTTTCAGATGAAGACAGACTAGGAAGAAGAAGAGATGGATACTTCTGAATATGAAATCACTGAAAACCTTATGAATCTCAGTGGAACACCATCAGCACTAGGGCACTGAATATTGAAATATGCTGAAAAGCACCAGAATATCGTCAGATACAGTGCTGGAAGATGAGTCCCTTGAGTTGGAAGGCACTCAAAATGCACCTGGAGAAGAGCTGCCTCCTCAAAGTAGAGTTGACTGTAATTTGAATGGAGTAAAGCCTTTGGGACCTTCATTTGCAGATGGGGCACAACTCAAAATGAAGAGAAAATGCTGTAAGCAACCATTAATAATCGGAACATGAAATATATGAAGTGTGAATCCAGGAAAACTGGAAATTGTAAAAAATGAAATGGAACACATAAACATCGATATCCTAGGTACTATAGTGGTATTGACCATTTTGAATCTGACAAACACATGGTTTATTATACCTGGACAAATTGGAGAGGAATGGTGTTGCATTCATCATCAAACAGAACATACCAAGATCTGTTTTGAAGTGCAATACTGTCTGTGACAGTATAATATCCATATGCCTACAGGGAAAACCAGTTAATACCACTATTAATTAAAATTTACCCACCATCCACTAAAGCCAGTGATGATGAAACTGAAGAATTCTACCAGGTTCTTCAGTCTGTAATTGATTATACATGCAATCAAGATGTATTGATCATTACTGGCGATTGGAATACAAAGATTAGAAACAAAGAGGAAGGATCCAATAGTTGGAAAGTATGGCCTTGATGGTAGAAATGATGCTAGAGCTCACCTGATAGAATTTTGCAAGACCAGTGACGACTTCATTGCAAATACCTTTTTTTAAAAACAAAAGATGACGGTACACAGGGACCGAAGCAAATGGAATACACAGAAATCAAATTGACTACATCTGAGGAAACAGAATGTGGAAAAGCTCAATATCATCAGCCAAACAAGGCTGGGGAAGACTGTGGAACAGACCATCAATTGCTCATATTCAAGTTCAGACTGGAGCTAAAGAAAATTAAAACAAGTTAATGAGAGCCAAAATATGACTTTGAACATATCTCACCTGAATTGGAGATCCTCTGAAGAACAGATTAGATACATTAGACACTAAAGACCAAAGACCAGAATAGTTGTAGAATGATATCAAGAACATCATACATGAAGAAACCAAAAGGTCATTAAGACAAGAAAGAAGGAAGAGACTAAAATAGATGTCAGAAGAGATACTGAAACTTGCTCTCCAGCATAGAGATGCTAAAGCAAATGGAAGAAATGAGGTAAAAGAGCTGATAGAAATTTTCCAGCTCCAGAAGCCAGAGTCAAATATTTTAACAAAATGTGCAAAGAACTGGAGTTAGAAAACTAAAAGGGAAGAACACGCACAGAATTTCTCAAGCTGAGGGAACTTGATGAAAAAAATTCAAGCCTTGACTTGTGGTATTGAAGGATTGGATGGTCAAAATATTGTATGATTTAGAAAGCATCAAAAGATAGATGGAATACACAGTCACTGTACCAAAAAGAAATGGTCAGTGTTCAACCTTTTCAAGAGATAGCATATAATCAAGAGCCAATAATACTGAAGGAAGTCCAATGTGATTGAAGGCATTGGCAAAGAATAAGACTCTGGGAATAGAGTACAAATTGAAATCTTTCAAGAAACTAATGCAGCACTGGAAGCACTCACTCATCTGCTATGGAAGACAACTACCTGACCAACTGACTGGAAGAGATCCATATTTGTGCACATTCCAAAGAGAGGTTACCCAACAGAATGTGAAATCATCAGAATGTATCATTAATATCACATGCAAATAAAATTTTGCTAAAGGTAGCACAAAAACGACTGCAACCATACACTGACAGAACTTTCAGAGGTTCAGGCTGGATTCAGAAGAGGGTGTAAAACAAGGGATAGCATTGCTGATGTCAGATGGATGTTGGTTGAAAGCAGAGAATACTAGACAGATGTTTACTTGTGCTTTACTGACTACACAAAGGCTTTCATTTTTGTAGATAATGGTAAGCTACGGACAACATGGAGAATGAGTACTCCGGAACACTTAATTGTGCCATGAGGAACCTATACATAGACCAAAATGGCAGTTGTTTGAACAGAACAAGGGAGCACTGACTGAGTGGTTTAAAATTAGGAAAGTTGTGTGTCAGGATTGTATTATTTGACCATATTTATTCAATCTGGTCTTGGTGTGGCGCTGTGGGTTAATGTGCTGGACAAGGTTGGTTTGAATCATAAGGTTGGTGGTTCAGGCCCACCAACTGGTCCTAGAAAACCCTATACAGGGCTGCTAAGAGTCAGAATTGACTCGACAAACACTTAACAGGAACAGCAACAATTCCGTTTATAGACTGAGCAAATAATTCAAGAATCTGGATTATATGGCAAAAACAAAAATGTGGCATCAGGGTTTGGAGGAAGACTCAGTATCCGCCTGTGATATGCAGATGATATAACCTTGCTTGCTAAAAGCGAAGAGTACTTAAAATACTTATTGATAAAGATCAAAGACCACAGCCTTCTGTATGGGTTGCACTTCAATGTAAAGAACAAAAATCCTCACCACTTGGCCAATAAACAATATCCATATCCATACAAATGGAGAAAAAATTGAAGTTGTCAAAGACTTCAGTTTGCTAGGTCCAACCACCAACATTAATGGAAACAGTCAGAAAATGACATATGGCATTAGGCAAACCTGCTGCACAAGACCTCTTGAAACTGTTGAAGAGCAAAGATGTCAGCTTGAAGACTAAAGGTACGCCTGATCCAAGCCATGGTATTTTCAGTAACCTCACGCATGTGAAAGTTGGACAGTGAATAAGGAAGACCATTGAAAAATTGATGAGTTTGAGTTATGGAGTTGAAGGAGAACATTAAAAGTACTATGAACTGCCAAAAGAACAAACAAATCTGTGTTGGAAGAAGTACAGCCAGAATGCTCCTTGGAATCCAGGATGGCCAGACTTTGTTTCTCATACTTCAGACATCTTATCAGGAGGGACTAGTTCCTACAGAAGGATATCATGTTTGGTAAAATGGAAGGTCAGGAAAGAGCAAGACCTTCAGTGAGATGGATTGGCACAGTCAGTGGCAGCAGCAGTGGGTCAAATGTGTAGTAGAGATTGTGAGGTTAGTACAGGATTGGGCAGTGTTTCGTTCTGTTGTGCCATAGGGTCGCTATGAGTTGGTACTGACTTGATGGCACCTAACAACAACATGTGTATGTATATACATACACTCGGTTGGATGCATTGTATAATCTGTTAGATTTTGTATTCCTGGATGTCTGTGCCTTACCCTAAATGAATCCGCACGGCCCTTCTTAACTTGCTCTTTCTGTTCTCTGTAAAAGTTCTCATTAGCTTCTTAGTCACTTAAGTTAGGTAATGTTTTTCTTTCTGCCATGTTTCTCACCCTTGCCATTCCAGTTCACTTCCTTATTTTTCACCTGGGCTATTGCAGAAGCCTCTTTAATTGGCTTCTCTGCTTGCAGTATTTTCCTTCTATTTTTCACAGTTTCCCAAATAATACTCCTAAGTTACAGTTTTAAATTGTTACATCCCTGTTCAAAAAGCTTTCAGCGTTCACCAATCCTTATTTAATCAAATCTAGACATAAGGTTTTGGCACCTTGGTGCTCTGTCTCTTCCATGCTTCCTGCAAACCAATCTGTTAACATACTTTGTACATAATCTATATGTGGACTTTTTCTCATGAATGGTTTTCTCTGCCTTAAATACTCTTCTCATTCTCACCATACTGAAAGTTATTTGTCTGTTAGAATCTATTTACTTCTAGACTGTGCTTAAATGCTATCTCTTCAGTGACTTATTTCTCAACCTTTTGATCTCTAAGCTCAGTTATATATAAATGTATAGTCATTGTTTTATGTTGTAAATATTTGTAACTTTTTTTTCTGCCTTCACTTTTGGGTAGAGAATTCAAGGCTGCAAACATCTTTTACCTAGAACTCTGAAGGTTTTATTTCACTTTCTTCTAGCTCTTAGTGTTGCTGATGAGAAATCTTGATTCTTGTTCCTTTGTGTGTAGTTTATAATTCAATAATTTATATTCACATTGTTCTGTGACATTGATATTCCTGCATTGTGTCAGCATTCTCCCAATTTCCTTTTCTCTAATTGCTGTGCTCTTTCTTGCCTGGTCATCTTCGCTTTGGGGCAAATGTTGTCTTACATAGTGATTGAAAGTTCTAAGAAGCACATTCCTCATGGATGTTATTGTTTACTTTATTGGCTGGTGTATTATTTGGCTGAACGGTGACTTCTGGGAGTGACTTCAATTCCAGATTAAAAGGGTGTCTTAGAGAATAGTGTCCTGGTGTGGCTATTAACTATTAGGATAAGCACTGATCTGCTAACCACAAGGCCAGCAGTTCAAACACAGCAGCCATTTGTATACATACATAACTGACTTGAGATTTAACAACAACAGGGCGCTAGTCTTGGGGGTTCCTTCAGTTTCTATTAGTCCAGTAAGTCTGATCTTTTTTATTAATTTAAATTTTGTTCTTGGTTTTTCTCCTATTCTAACTTGGATTGTGTGTCTGGTCAGAGCTGTCAGTAATGGTAGCCAGGCACCATCTGGTTCTTAAGTGCCGTGGGGTTGGTTTCCAAGGCGTGGCTGGTGTATTTTACCCACTAACCTTGCAGTTCAAACAGACCTTGTGGTCCTGTGCATTATCCCACTGTGCCACACCAGGACTCCATAATGCTATGAATTAAGTGCTTCCTTGAGTCTTTGGTTTCCTTCTCTGTCCTTTGCTTCAGATAAGTAGTAAACAATAGTTGTCTCTTAGATGGCCAGTCTACTCACCAACCCAGAACATTATCTTTATGAGCTATGTTATGCCAGTTGACCTAGATGTCAGCTGTAACTTTGCTTTACAGCTACAGAGCAAGATAGATAGATAAAATCAATAAAGCAGACTTTCCCCCTCCATTTAACTAGGTGTAAAGCATTTTGACTTTTTTTTTTTTTTAAGGTTTTTATTGTGGATTGAATGAAAGTTTACAGGGCACATCATCAGTTTCACATTCAACCATTTTGACATTTTTATGATAGGAAGTTGAGCTAATTCATTAACTTGGGGACTTGGGCTGGCAGCTGGCCATAGCAAATCTTTGCAATGTAGAATTTTCCTTCATAGCTACTTCAAGTATCTTAGTGCCTTAGTGCTTACAGACTGCACTGTAAGCTCTCAGATAGTGTCCACTCTGTAACACTCTTGAAGCTTTCAAATCTTAATCTGATACCTCTTGTTAAGTGTTTTAAGTCTGTTACAAGCTCTCTTCCTCTTGGCTAACCCAGGCCACAGCAATCTTAATTGTTAAAGTACTGTATAAAAATAAAACTGTGCTCCAAAGCCAGGGTCCTTTTTCAAAGCATTAGCAACCTGAGAAAAGAGATTCTAGCAACAATGTCCCTAGGATAGTACACCTAATATCATTGGCAGCATGATTCAAGAGACAAGCAACCCTGACTACACCCTGACTAGTTTATCATTATTTACATACAGGTATACTTAAACGTAAGGAGCTCTGGTAGCATAGTGGTTACGAATTAGGCTATGAATCACAAGGTCAGCAGTTTGAAACTACCAGCTGCTCTGCGGGAGAAAGATGAGGCTCTCTGCTTCTGTAAAGATTTACAGCCTTGGAAACCCTGTCCAGGGTCGCTGTGAGTCGGAACCGACTCGATGGCACTTAACAGCATACTTAAACCTTATCCCAGAGCAAGTGTTGCAATCATAATCCCAAGAAATAATTTTTAGCTCATTCATTTTCTGTAAAATGCCAGTGCAAGTGAGAGGAAAACATCAAGAGAAGTAAAAACTTCCCAAACTCCTCATATTGATGGCTTTTTTCATAATCTTAATTGGCAAAAACCCAGAGGCTTCAGTTTGCTGATTTGAGGAGTCAGTTTTCAAGGTGACTAACTGCAAGGTCAGTGGATCAAACTCACCAGCCACACCTCAGAAACCCTATACAGAGTTGTTGTGAGTTGGAACCGATAGCACAACACTTAACAACAACAGCAAATCAAGGTCAAAAGCTCCCTGGTAGCACTGTGGGTTAAGCATTGGGCTGCTAGCCTCAAGGTTCAAAACCACCAGCCGTTCTGCAGGAGAAAGATGTGGCAATCTACTTCTGTTAAAGATTTACAATCATGGAAATTCTAAGGGACAGTTCTGCTCTGTCCTATATGGTTGCCACGAGTCAGTGTAGACTCGACAGCAGTGATAGAAAAATCAGGTGCCACATAAGATTGAGGCTGTGAGCCTTATTCTTGTGCGGACCAGTTGAATTTTGTTGTTCTGTAGTTACACATAGTAACCGTATAGCAGCTCCATGGGACTGACTGTGGTATTGCTGCAGCCCCTCCATAACTGAGTTAAACCGAGAGCCCTAGAGGTGACTCTGCACTTCCTGTAACTTTGTCATATGTGCCCTTGTGTGGTAGTATGAATTTTAGATTTTGAACTAAAATTTCAACCGAGCCCGTAAAACAAACATGGCTCTTGTGCTTCGTGTTTCAAAACTTCCATTGAACGTGGTGGGAGTGGGTGAAGAGTGGGTTTTCATGTCATGATTTAGAGCACACAGGGACTGGAATTGTCTTCTAAAAGCAGCACAGGTCCCTTGTGGTACAATGGTGAATAATTGCTATCAGGACTGATTGTGAGGGTTGGAAATGTAAAGGTAGATGTTTTGTAGCAAAATGAGGGGAGTGGTTAACTTTTCAGTCTAGGAGCCGAGGTCCCTGGGACCATCATGGGAGAAGAGCAGAGAGCAGGACCCTACCCAGAGAAGCAGTGATGTCAGAGATGGAGGTAGAGATGATGACGTGGAGAAATGGAGCAATTGTGGACTTTAGACTCAGAGAGGGAGAGGGGCTGTGTGCTGACGACCAGGGGGCAGGCTTGTAATATATACCCTTTGGTTGGTTGATGATGCATGGAGGGGATTATAACCATGGCAATGAAACGATATACGATAGGATGAATGTAAAACTAATGTTCTCCCATGTAAACTATCACATAATTCACAATAAAACATTAAAAAAAAAAAAAGAAAGAAGGGGGTTTGTCCTGAAGTGACTTGACGGCTCCCCGGTGAACAGCTTGCTAGTTCTTTTAATAGCCCAACAGTCTTCTTCTCTCCTCCACCCACCCTTTACCTGCTGGTTTTTCTTTCAAACAGTATTTTCTGTTCCTCTAGCCACTTTGGGTTGGTCTGCATGTCCTTTCAAGTGGGAATGTCCCACCTCAGAAGGTTCTGCATGGGGTTCAGGAATCCATCCAATGCCCCATACTCTATAAAGGCTCCACAAGAAGCATATTTCACTGATCAAGTTCTAGAACCCCTTTAAAAAGGTATTCCAATTCGTTATAAGTGGAAGCCAGGCTTACAAGCTTTCTGTAATATTTCCTGATAGTCCTATCCCACGAAGTGGCTCTAGTTTATATTAGTACGCAGGGGAAACCAATATCCATAATAACAATCTATTACCTTAACATTATTTCCCCTCTTTTACCCATGCAGATTATGGTTCAATCCCTGTATCATGTTGTTGTTGTCAGGTGCCATCGAGTTAGAACTGACTCATAGTGACCCCATGCACAGCAGAACGAAACAATGTCCGATCCTGGGCCAACCTCACTACTGCTGCCACACTTGAGTCCATCAATGATGCCACCTGGCCAATCCATCTCGTTGGGGGTCTTCCTCTTTTTCTCTGACCCTCCACCTTACCCAGCATGACATCCTTCTCCAGCGACTGTTCTCTCCGGACAATGTGTCCAAAGTAGGAGAGACGAAGCTTAGCCATCTTGGCCTGACCACCCTGAATGCGCCCGATCTCCCTGTATCATAGAGCCCTACGAAACATTTTATTAATTAGGAAACAAAATCTCACTAAAGGTTTTATGGAAAAGGAAAGAAATTTCCAGTTATTTTAGGGAGTAAAACTTTAGAGATTTGGTTTTGCAGACTGTTTAACAGCTTCTGTTTTTGGTGGAGGAAACCAGCACAAAATTGGGTTTCTTCTACAGTTAAAAGCAACAGCGCTTTATCCAGTGCTGTTTTTTCACTGTTTCTGCCACAGTGGAAAGAAAGAACAGTGACCGCTGTGTGTCTTCCCAGAGCACAGCAACTGGCTCAGATATTTAAGTGAATTTCTTAATGGACAGCTTGTCTTGTGTTGTTTGAAGCTGAAAGGCATCAAGTGGCAGACCAGAGTCACTATTATTCCACTCTAAAACACTTGTCGTAGCATGATAGGGCTCTTTCCTCTCTTCACTCCCTCTTTTCCTCCTGGCTGAGGTGAATTTTTGCTTTATATAATAGGTATGTTTCTTTCATGTGTGCAAATGAAGTTTTTAATTGAATTATACTTTAAGGTATTATTAAGGAGCTATGAAGCACATCCTTTGTAATTTGTTCTATAAAATATCAGTTTGAGCATATCTGGATTTCTTAATAAGCAGATTTCCTACATTTTGAAGTATAACCTGTTTATTATAGTCTAATAGCATTGTGGTGGTTTAAGAACATCGACTTTATGTCATACTGCTTAGGTTCAAATCAAAGCTCTACCACTTACCAACTTTATGATCTTGGACAAATTTTGTATCCCTTCTCATCTGTAAAGTGGAGATAAGAGTAGTACACTTCCTTAAAGTGTTGTTGAGAAAATTTAGAAAATTGATACATGAAAGGTGCTTAGAATCCTGCCTGGCACATTTAAGTGGTTTATACATGTTAGCTGCTACCATTGTACTGAGCAGGTCACCTACTGAAGGCACCGTGCTAGATAATAGAGACCCTAGGAGGGTGCTGCCCACAGGAAGCTTGTGATATGGTCAGGGAAGAATCTAGAGAAAGAAAAAAGCTACCTAAGGTCACATGTGCTCAGTATCATATGGTTGAAAGAGATAAATGCTGTAAGAGTGCAGAGGAAGCACTGGGCCTTCAGGAAAGCTTCATAGAGAAGCTGAGTTCTTCCTGATGCAACATTCTAGGAGGGGAAACAGTCTGAGGGAAGTGACAGGGCACATTTGGCCTGGTGTGTAGAATAGGTGGTGGGGCTCTTTCTGTTTAATAGTAATCCAGGAGCATAATTTGAATAGTATGATGGGATTGAAAATCTTAGTCTTCCTGAATGGGGGTCATCCCATTCACCTTAAATGCTTCTCTGCCCTGTTTTTTCCTTGGGTGGAAATGGGTGAAGAGAAAATGAATTGGGTGGGAGAAAGGTGTTCATCTGAGTTCCTACCTCTTTTCTGTGCTGTCTCTTTGCAGTATGACTTCTCCTTGGAAAAGAAAACCATCGAGTGGGCTGACGACCTTAGGAAAATCAAAGAAACCCAGCAGGAAGCTGAGCGCAAAGCTGAGGAAGAGGACGCTAGAGTGAATTCTAAGAGTGGCCCAGAGGGTGATAACAAAATGAGCTTCTCCAAGACTCACAGTACAGCCACAATGCCACCTCCCATTAATCCCATCCTTGCCAGCTTACAGCACAACAGCATCCTCACCCCGACTCGGGTCAGCAGCAGTGCCACGAAACAGAAAGTTCTCAGCCCACCTCACACAAAGGCAGACTTCAATCCTGCTGACTTTGAGTGTGAAGAGGACCCATTTGATAATTTGGAGTTAAAAACTATCGATGAGAAGGAAGAGCTGAAAAACATTCTGGTAGGAACCACTGGACCCATTATGGCTCAGCTATTGGACAATAACTTGTCCGGAGGAAACTCTGGGTCTGTGTTAGAGGATGAAGAGGCAGTCTTGGCATCCTTGGAGCAGGCGACCCTAGATTTTAAGCCTCTTCACAAACCCAATGGCTTTATTACCTTACCACAGTTGGGCAACTGTGAAAAGATGTCGCTGTCTTCCAAAGTATCCCTTCCCCCCATCCCTGCAGTCAGCAATATAAAATCCTTGTCTTTCCCCAAACTTGACTCTGATGACAGTAATCAGAAGACAGCTAAGCTGGTGAGCACTTTCCATAGCACATCCTGCCTCCGAAATGGCACGTTCCGGAATTCCTTAAAGCCTTCCACCCAGAGCAGTGCCGCTGAGCTCAATGGCCATCATACTCTTGGGCTTTCAGCTTTGAACTTGGACAGTGGCACAGAGGTGCCAACCCTGTCTCCCTCCTCCCAGCTGCCTTCCCTGTCTGTTTTGTCTATGTGCACAGAAGAATCATCACCTCCAAATACAGGTCCCACGGTAAGCCTTTTAAATCCCCCTAAATCCGATTTCTAAAGATGTCTACATTCTACTGAGTAGTTGCCCCTATTGTGCTTTTTTCAAAGTTTAGAACATGACCAAATTGGCCCTGCCTGTTAGAATATACAGCTGTGGTCATTTTTCTGAGGACAAGGGTGATTAGCTTGGAACCTAGCCCGCATCCTTCTGGTCTTTTCCTTTGCAAAGAATACTGTGTTACATGAGTGGTGTTGTCCTGACTGATCAGTTTTGTTCTTTCTTGTGCTGCCCATGCCTTACTTGTTTTTAGTGGCTTCTTTGTACCTTTTTGCTTTTTCCTATTACCTTCAGTTTTTAGTTTGTTAGTCTTTATTCTCTTCTCTCCCTGTCCCTCTTCTCATCCTATTCTGTCCTGAAGTAAGGTTCTTTTCTGTATCACGGCTTGACTAGTTTGGGGTTGTTTCCTGACTGGGTGGTGCCTTAGTAACTGAGAGGTAATTTGTATTGGAAATCCCAATACAAAGTAGAAACTTGTTAGTTGTAATCCTACAGTTTGATGATGAAGGGTTTGCTCATTGTCAAGAATTGTACCATTTTCTCTAGAGGGGAAAATGGTACTTGGGAACTCAGATTTATTGTAGAAGGATGGGTTGATATAAATGTTATCACTTATATCCTGAAGAAAATCTTTTTGCCACAAAAAAGTTGCAAATACAGCAGGGTTCCTCACATTAGCAGCACAGAACAACACAATATTTTCTAGAGTAGAAACCATAGGCTTGCAGGACCTTTTGCTGCACTACCTCATAGATTTTAAATGATAAAGCATATTAAAACACTATTACTATCCCAGCACGGTTGCCAGCAATGGGTTGGGCAGTCGTTGGTCTTTTCTGCAGAAATTTCTCTATGTCAAAAAAAAAAAAAAAAAAAAGTTGACTATTAAGAACTGAAAAGAGCCTAAATATACTAATTGTTTATCCATACAGGGCATTCATAAGTTGTTAGCTGAGGGGAAGATGTAGCATTGACCTGTCTTACAAGTGCAAGGCAAGTAAAGCAAGGTTCATACGTCATTGTTTCTTGGTGTAGTCTTCTGGTGTTGGCTCACCACCTGGTAAACTCCCATGAACTTGTTTGGTGCCATCGAGTCGATACCAATAGTGACCTTATGCACAGCAGAACGAAACATTCCCTGATACTGCCTGGGCCACCCTCACTATTGTTGCCACGCTTGAGCCCATTAATGCTGCCACTTTGCCAGTCCGTCTTCCTCTTTTTCTCTGACTCTCCACCCTAGGCCCAGGTAAACGCCATCACGTGCAGAAGACTAGTGTTCTCTCCTAGGAGTGGGCTTGATCCTTCCTTATTTTTCGTGGTCAGTTGTGGGACTCTGATCAGCATTGTACTCCTTGTTCGCATTAGGAAAATTGAAAGAGCTACCTTGGAAAAGGAGTCCTGGTGTGGTGCTGTAGTATAAGCACTGGATTGCTAACCACAAGGTCGTTGGAGGTTCAGACATACCAGTTGCTCCACGGAAACGTTGTCTCTGAGTCAGAACACCACTTAACAACCCTGGAAAAAAACTGAGGAACCTCAGCCATATCCCTATTTAAAATAACCATTTAGAAACCAAATAGCCAATTGTGAAAACCAAAATTCTTGTCCTTCTTTAACATACTTGTGTTGTATCTTTCTGGACCATCCATCTAAGGATAGGAAAGTGCTTGCTTCTTGTTGGCTTGGGAACTACTTCTGAGGAAGTCATGACCTACCTCCAGGGAGCAAACCATAGTTCCCATCGTAGTTCTCATCACAAGTAGCTTCCTGACCCTCTAGCTCAGTGTGAGTCTTTGAGGCCCACATTGAGAACCTTGCCCAGTGAGCAGCTCGCTCTCTAGGACAGTGACTGGGGTGGTGATGCCCATGTAAGCTGTGTACAGCCCTCACATAGAAACTCATAGAGAAGTGTTCCTAGAATTTGGTTGTTGGCTATTGTAAACTTAGAATTTATGACTCAAATGTTTTCCTGTTTATATCATCTTAGATGACAAACCCATGGGATCACTGACAGGAAAAATTTTACAATGTGCCCTTACTCTGAGTCTAACATAAAACTCTCTGACCTTGCTGGCATCTCTTCCCACTGCTTCGTGCCCTTCAGGGGCCTTGCTTTGCTCGTCGGGTTAATTTTGCTATTGAGTTCTTTCTTTGAAGATAGGATAAATTATTTATTTTCTCAGTTACTTCAGGAAAACCTTTCTGCTTTTCCTCTTCTGAGTCCTGAATTGACTACTTGTGGGCAGTATGCATGAGAGTTGTGCCAGGTTGTCTTTAAACTGTATTTTTAAATAACTTTTGACGTAAGGAATCTTTGCGCTTCAGGCAATCAAATTGTTGACCCATTTTTTGTGGTGCCATTCTTATAATACTTAAAAAGTCCTTCTCCAAGTCTGTATTTAAAAAAAAAAAATGTTTTTATCAAAGTAATGTAGGTACATTTTTATGAAAGAAATAGCGTTTCAATGGCTTATATTGAAAAAAAGCATCTCCCTACTTCACCTCTTCCTATTCTCCAGCTTTGGTTCCCATGGTGGTATGCTTTCAGTATCTTTAAGTGATCTCAACTGAGATTTATGCCTGTATTTACAAATAAAATAATATACTGCTTTCTAAATGTATCACTTTTTAGAGAGTTCTGTTTCCTATTGTTAAGTTGAGGATGTAGTTTCTACAGAAGGCCCTCTTCTACCTCTTTCTTCTCCTCCATCACATTTATGCCATAGTTAGTGGTGTTCACATTATGATGGGATAAAAAATACTGTTGCGTTCAGGTAGTGTAGTCTTTCTTACTCATTTCTTCTTTTTTGCAGCTTTTTGTTTCTCATAGTTAAAACTGCTGTTCTAAGAAAATGATGAAAGGTCTAATAGTAATTTTCCCCAAACATTTTAACATATTGGTTAACTTAAGTCTTTACATATATCCTAAAATTATCTTAATTTTGCCCTCATTTTTGAATAATAGTTTGCCTGGTATCAGTTTTTTTAGTTGAAGATAATTCTCCTTTGAACTTTCAAGGCATTGTGTTTTTTTTTGTTGTTGTTGTTCTTTTAAAAATGTGGTTAATAAAGATATATGTAACAAAATATTTGCCATTTCAACAACCTTCACATACACAATTCAGTGGCATTAAGTACATGCATCACCCTTCGCAGTTCAGTAAGTATTGCTTTTTATTTACTTTTTTTTATTGAGATATAAGTTTCATTGATTTCTACCATTCCAGTGCCATTTTCATTTCAGATTTGTGCCTTCCCTCTCCTTCCCTGCACCCACTGCCAGAAGCTTCTGGAGTCTTTCTTAAATTTGGGGGACTTGACATTTACCTGACAGTTGTGCTCGGGCTTTATCCCAATGGTGCCTGGTGTTTCCAAACACGGCCCACCCAAAAAATGTTGAGTGAGAAATGACACATTATGTATTACAATTTAAAAAGTAAATGAACTCCAAAGGGCTGCCACCTACTTCAGCCTGAGAGTGTGCCCAGAAAGTCTCAAAGAGCTTTGAAACACTGATATTTATGTCTTTCCACAAACTTACTTTTCCTCAAACACTATATTCATTTGGAAAAATAGCTTAATAATTCGTATTTATGTAGTTTATACTTCTTTAATTCATTATAAATACACAGTACTCTAGTCACGGAGTATCCATTTCTACAAGTGTACGCATACACCCTATCAGGCAGTCATAAGACTGTAGGAGAAAATAGGTATTTGAAAGGCACCTGCCTCCTTCACAACTCAAGACATGCCATGTGAGATCAGGCATCTTTAGCTGTTGGTATTCTTGAGCCCAGCTAGCTAGCACCTGTGCCTGAAGAGATAGACTGATGTGATACAGTCCCTGTGCCCTATCATGACTCCCGTCACCTTATGAGCTCTGTGACTGGATGACTAGGAGTTTGCTGTCGGTGAGGCAGTTAGATGGGAAAGCATGGGTTTTGAGGCTTCTTCCCAGTAGACATTTGGGAGGGCATCTGGTTAGGGCTATAGTTTTGAGCTTGCTTCTAGGGCAGATGTTCTCCCTGTTCCATCACTTTCTGTGGTGCTGAAGGGTCTGGACTAATAATCACAAGGTTGGCGGTTCAAAACCACCTCAGAAACCCTATACAGGGTCACTATTATTTGGAACTCACTAAACAACACTTAACAACAAAAATGGAAATAAAAACAATTCTTTTTGTGGAAACATTTTCCCTGATTCTTGAGAGCTGGGCCAAGCCATAGATCAGCTGGTGACCGTGCTTCCATAGCCTTGTCTTGAGATTGCTTCATGATACGAAGTGGTAGGCTGAATAAGTCATAGGACTCCACATCCCACCCCAGCCAGAATAGAACAGGTTCTAGGAGCCACATTCCAGTCTGAGATAATAACCTAGCTGAGTGCGGTAAACATTCACCAGCCGCGTCTTAGAAACTCTTTACAGGGTCACTATGAATTGGAACTGACTTGATAGCACTTAACAAGAAGTGTGGCTCATATTCCTTCAGCTATGGGCTCTGTGGAATGACAGCTCTAGCAAGAAATTGAAGATTGAAGCTCAGTGTATGGTATGAAAGAAGAGGTGGTGCAACCTGAGAACCCTGGTGCCCTGAACTGACCATGAGGGAGGAAACAGCACTCACATCCGAGGCCGAGAATTTGAGAGAATTTTGGAACAGAGGGTGGGCTGCTGAAGTGAATGAACCCTGTAGACACTCAGTCTCAGGCCTAGAAAAAGGGTACTAGAACCCTGGCAAGACACCACAGTGGGCAGTCTCAGAATTCACTTCTGCATCCAAACCCAGGGGATTTTGTCATGGAAGAAGGGCGTGTGGTTCTTGTGGTGATTTTATGCTGCAGGGAAGGTGTCTTCCCAGACTTTCACTCTGTCATCTGGGTGTCTGGACAGACTGCTTGACTGTGGGCTTGATCGATGCTGGGAAATGACCGAGTCACCTCAGTGACATTTCTTCCAGGGCCCAGGTCTTCTTGTCTTGATGTTCTTGTCTCTTCACCACCAGGTCACCCCTCCTAATTTCTCAATGTCACAAGTGCCCAACACTTCCAGCTGTCCCCAGGCTTATTCTGAACTGCAGACGCTATCCCCCAGTGAGCGGCAATGTGTGGAGACAGTGGTCAACATGGGATACTCATATGAGTGTGTCCTGAGAGCCATGAAGAAAAAAGGAGAGAATATTGAGCAGGTGAGTGATTGGGTGGTCAGCCAGGGAAGAGGTCCTAGACCTAGGGAGACCTCTGGAACTAGAGTAGTTTGGGGTGTCTTGTGTAGAGCCCCCCCAAACTCGTAGCACCAACCTCCTTTCCTGTGTATTTGTGGGGACTGAAGCAGGAAGCTTTCTGGGGGAGACCGGTAGTCTAAGCAGCAGTGTTTCTGCTTTGGGGGCTGCACCCTGGAATGTAGGCCTAGGGAAATCCTTGAGCGTATTGGAGCTGTTAGGATATACCCAACTACCCCCTCCATCCCTTCAAAGGCGAGGGGTACAGTCAGATATCTTCTCTCAGACACTTAGCTTGTCCTAGCTATCCAGGGAGTTCTGAATTGGGGACAGGAGTCCCAAACCTTGGAGACGTGTTCAGACTTGGGCTACTTCTTAACAGGAATATCCTAACCCAGGCTTTGGAGCTGGTATTCTGGGAAGTGTGAGTTAGCTGTGGTAGGAAACGCTGTTGGAAAGTGGCTACTCCCCTGTAGAAGGCTGTGCCCATGCCTACAAATAATCACTGAGCTCCTGTGCCAGGCACCAATGTTAGGTCAGGTGGGGCGCAGACCTCTCACGCACTGGAAGCCCAGAAGGGAGTGGCAGTAGGTGCTGAAACCTCTTTCTTTTCTTAGATTCTCGACTATCTCTTTGCACATGGACAGCTCTGCGAGAAGGGCTTCGACCCGCTTTTAGTGGAAGAGGCTCTGGAAACAAACCAGGGTTCAGAGGAAAAGGTGGGGACCTTTGTGCTTCATGGGGACCCACTGGAAAGGAGGGAAGGTTTGTTTTGGGCCTGCCCCTGGCTCCCTTTCATGCCAGTGACTGCAGGTAGAGGCAGTACTGACAGTTGAGACCTGAACTTGGTTCTGATGAAGTACTGGTCTCTCTGGAATCCCAGGAAAGGGAGACAGACCTAAGGGGAAAACTACAGCCATTTCTGGGTTCAGTAGTAGTTGGGGTACACTGACAGTAGTCAGTAGGAACTGAACATGCCTCTTGAAGGATGATGTCATGAGGCATCAACCGTTTCCCTGGCTCTCGCCAAAAGCAGCTCACCTCATTGATAGGGGCCCCCAAAGAGGCTCACGTGAAGGATGCAGACAAAGCCCTTTTCTTTAACCTGTCTGTATTCTTTCCTCTCCCCTTAGATGATGGAGTTTCTTCAGTTAATGAGCAAATTTAAAGAAATGGGCTTTGAACTCAAAGACATTAAGGAGGCTTTGCTATTACACAACAATGACCAGGACGATGCTTTGGAAGACCTCATGGCTCGGGCAGGAGCCAGCTGAGACCAGGCTTTGCCCAGACCTTGCCACGGAACCAACCCACTCCCACCCCACCCCCCCAGGAGGCACCCTGCAGAGTCCACCTGTGGGGAAGAAGAGACACACTTCTGATTTTTCTTTTGGGGGTGGGAGGTCAGGTATGGAGACTGTGCTTGCCAGTTTCTACAACCTAGGCCCTGAGCTGGGGGGAAACTGATGAAGACTTGGGCATGTGAATGCCCCCAGAACATTCTTGGCTCCTCCTTCCATATGAAATATATTTGTATTTTGAGAAGTGTCCTTCCCACCTTGGCCCTTCAGAAACAGTCCTGGTCTTTCTGGGGTATGTGCACCCTCAACCCAAGCCTGCCCTAGCCACCAAGAAGTTGAGAAGGGTGGGAGGGCCAGACACAGTGCTGCTGAGGGCTGGATGCTCTCCCCCTCTCCACCTTAGCCTAGGGGGGACTGAAAGGTTCTTCCAGGGTTTTATTGTCCCACTTTTAACAAAAGTCTTAGTGTTACACTGGTCCGCAATGCCTATGAGGTACAAAGACTACCCTTAACCCCACGGGGCCCTGAGTTTGCCACTTCTGTCAGGCAGGCACCATGCTTCCCTGCCCCAGCCTGTTTCTTTGGCTTGATTTGAGCTACAGCCCTTTCCTACCCAGGGTTTACTGTTCTAGGGAACAGCGGTCAAGTCTAGAATAATTGGCCCTTTCCAGCACACTGAATGAGGAAGGCCAAGATGTAGCTGCCCAGCACTAACTCCACCTCTGTTCTTGAAGAGCAGTTAGCCTCTTCCTCCAGCCCACTGCTTTAGGATGACACAGTGAGTAACACCTAGTCCTAGAAACCAGTCTTTGGTTTATTTTGTATTATGTTGTACATCATTAAAGATTGAAATACAAAGGATATACAGTCTTGATGAATCTAAAGTAATTTCCTAACTATTTTGATTCTTCAGAGAACTAATAAAAATATAAAAAGTTTTATCTGCTGTGATAATTTCCGTATTTTTTTCACATGGGATACTTTACTGAGGGAGTCCTGGTGTGGTGCTGTGGGCTAATGCGTCAGACTGAAAAGCTGTTTGAACTTCAAGGTCGGTGGTTCAAACTCACCAGCTAGCTGCTCCTTGGAAACCCTATACAGGGTCACTATGGGTTGGAATCCACTCAAAGGCACTCAACAACAACTTTACTGAGAGTGTGGTGGTAAAGGAATTTGCTGCTTAGATATGTGAGGGAGAGAAGAGAACCTACCATTTTCCATCCTTCCTGCTTTAGACCTTTGAGACTCAAGACTTGGCACTCCAGTCCGTTTGCAAAGGCTGTTGTATCCTGACCTAACTCATCTCTGGACCAAGGGCATTTCCTCCCTGAAATATAAGCTGGGGCAGAAATGAGGAAGGAACCTCCTGTGTGGGCAGTTTATGTGCTCTGTGCAGCAAGCATTTAAATTACCTCACTGGGTCTAAGCAGTTGTAGCCTGTGGAACTGACTCCATCCCTAAAACTTGTCATAGTAAATTTCATTTTGTGGGTGTGAGAAGGGGCCATAGAGCCTTAAACCAAACTGGAAGCATAGTACCCTCTGCTGGACAGATGAGGTAAAACCAGGGACTGCCAAAAGGCTGGGCCAGGCCCTGCAGGCTCAGAGAGCCATGTAGCCCCTTTCTTGGCTTTTTAAATTAAGCTTTCCTTGTAAAACCTTTAATTATCCTTTACTTGAAAGCAGGGTTTCATATATCATGGGCATCAGCATGAGACATGTGTCTCACTGACCTAGGAAGGCTTTGGAAGTGGTGGATACCTGGAGTCTGCTTTATCCTCCATCTTGAGCTAAAAATAGACACCGCACGCAGAACTTCGATGAAGGCATATATGTGTTATGTGTATTCTGTTTCAGAGGTCTCAAGTTTTGACTAGAACACTAGATGCCAAGATACTGAACGCAGGACCATAAGAGGGGGCGTGGCTGGGGCCATCCTGGATGAAGGTGAGCTAAAAGATGACTTGCCTAAGACCCTCCAGGTCTTCCTCTCTTCAGCCCTAGAAAGCGTCTCAAAACAAAAGTGGGCCCAACTTGGGCCAAAATAGGGGTAGAAGGTAAGGCGTCTCCAATGAGCCGCAGATTACCACAGGAGTGTGACGCCTATCTGGACTTGGTCAGTCAAGCATAAATAAGAGATGGGGAGAGAATGACGCAGAAACATGGGCACCCTCTTTTGTTATTTCTGAGCTGCAGGAAGGGAGGGGAACTGTAAGCACAAACCTGGGGTTAAAGGTGTCACATCTGTTACTGCAGATACATCAAGGTTTATTCATTTTACTACATTTTTCAAAGCAAACTGTAAGCCCAAAACGAAACAACCCCCAAAGGCTGGTTAGAGAGAGCTTGCCCCAGTCCCCAGCATTCATTAACAATGTTTTTTTTGCCAAGTCTTCAAAGAAAAACAATTCTGTTGACAGTTGCTTTCCCCAGTTTGTGACCTCTGGCCTCCAGCACTGAGAACTCCCTTCTCTGATCACCAAATTCAGAAACATCAACTTGGTTATTAGACCCAAATGAGCCCTGACAGACAGTTGGTCAACAAGTAAACACAAACTGTGTTACAGCCCCAAAGAAAAGGAGAGGCACTAAGTCTAGTCACAGAAGCTCCTGTTATTAGAGCTGAGTTTGAGACAGGCCTGGCCCTAAGGGAGGAGCTGGGGCCCATCCAAGGCTGTGTGGCTGAGGCAAGGCTACCACAGGCAAGACCAGGGAGTGACTGTTAGTATATGCAGGGAGGACCCCACAGAGGCCTTGGCCCCTGAAGCCCAGCGCACGCTCCTCTACTCCCCAAACCCTCCTGTATAGGATGTGGTTCTAGGATACCACTGCCCTCTCAGGGGCTGCAGGTGGCCTGTGGCAAGCCAGGTACAGCTGTAGCTGACTCCTCAGGCTCTGGATGCACTTGGATTTCAGAGCCATGATTTCATCCAACTGAGTCACAAAATCTTCAAAATCCTGAGGAAGGAAATGGACAAATGGGAGTGTTGACTGTGGCTGCCCTCTGCTGCCAGACTGGCCTTTTAGGGGTTGGGACCCTACAGCTAGGCACAGAGTGGGCCAGCTCCTGAGTCTGAAAAACTTTCTAGGTAGAGGGAAGTTTTACAGGACACAGATACTTTGACAGAAGTCCCTCTACCCTAGAGAGCCCTGGTGTGGCGCTGTGGGTTAATGCCCTGGACTGCAAAGTTGTTTGAACTACAGGCTTACCAGCTGCTTCTTGGAAACCCTACACAGGGTCGCTAGAGATCAGAACCGACTCGACAGCACTTAACAACAACCTCTAGTCCACATATAGCAGGCAACAGACTGGATGGTCACTGTTAGCATCACAGGGAAGGTCTCAAAAAGCCAGTAGGGAGGCAGCACCGCTAAGGATTGAGGCTAAAAACATTTTTGTCTGGGAGCGGGAATGGGAGCATCTCATGCTTACATGGGCCTGTCCCCCCTTACAGGCTATCTCAGAGTAGTGAGAGGAAGTAAAAGGCCTCAACCGCAGCCCCTTATCCTACATATCACATCATACAAGTATGACCATCAAACTGACTGCAGGCTAATTCCCAACAACCTCCTCAGACTGAGTACAGTCAAGACCACTTACATTGGAAGCCATCTGACTCATCAAGGTCTCCTCCTTAAAGCCCAGCTCAGCCATTTCATCCAGCTGTTCTTGGTGTGCTTGGATCACCACCTGCCTGGAACACCAAAAGAGACACTGATCTCTTGGCCTCCCACCCTCCTGCTGTTCCCATGATTTCCTGAAGCTGCCTCTGCCCATAATGGTCAAGGCTTTGACCAGGACCAGCTCACCAGCATCTCCTCCCACCCACTTACTTGTTCCTTCTTGGGACTCATCAAGGGACTAGGGAGATACAGGGAAAGAGATGGGCTTCGTGAGTTACCTCCTGCCTCCCCAGATGTACTGAGGGTGCTGAGGACAGGAGCTGCCCATTCTCTGCAGCTTTCTTGCCAAAAAAAAGGCTTTCAGGGCTGTGACCCCTGTGACTGGCATACTTGGGAAGGTAAGGACTGCTGTCTAGCTGTCTTCCTGTGGAAAATCCAGGGATCAAAGTAGGGTGGTTGAGCGAGAAGCTGGAGGTGCTATTTGGTTAGACTCTACTGATGGGTAGAGACCATGAAACCGCATGATTGTCCACTGGAGAGAGGCAATTTCCTTGCTGTGCATGCCTGCACGCCCTTCTTTGTCTATGCCCCTGGCTGTAGTCTCGCGAGCACCAGGCTGACCCCTGACCTAGGAACTGGGAGCCCTAGCAAAGGAATGCAGTCTGACGGAGGAAGAATCCTCTAGGCCCAACCTGCCGACTACTGCCCACATGCCCCTGGGCCTTGGTACTCTGTGGGCCTTCAGTTTCCTTTTCCTACATCCTCTAAGGCTGCTTTCCCATCTCTCTTGGGGAGAGCAGCCCAAATCACCAGCCTCCCTGTTTTCTTCCTTCCCTACCTTGGAAGGTGCCCGGCCTGTTTTAGTTCTGGGGTTGCAGGCTGTGGCTCCTGGACCGAAGGCAGCGTTTCCAAGAGCACAGACCCACCAGAATGAAGAGGAGAGTTGTGATCTCACGGGCCCTAGGCTTCATTACAGGGCAGTACCTCTCAGTGTGCCCAGGCTGGGGCCATCCACACTGGTGGTCTTGCTCCCATACACGTTATTCCTATAGTTCATGTCAGATGCACCTAGGTATGCTCTCTGTGGAGAGCCAGTCAGCACAGTCTAACACTGAACCAACAGAGTCATTCCCATAACAGCATGGAGCTGATGTGGGGGGAGGGTGTCAAAGGGGCCCAACTTACTGTGCTTGCCCCAGGGTGGGCTCGTGGGGAGTCCCTGCAATCTTGGTAGAGCAGCTGGGGGCCAGGGCAGAACCTGGCCTTGCTAAGCACCTCGGACTCAGCTTGTGCTTATCCGTGTAGAACTTGATGGGGTGTGTAGATAAAGTCAGCTCCTGCCAACTCTGCCCTGCAAGAGGCTTTCTCTCCTGGACCCAGGGCTGGTCTGCCACATCACTACTTCCTGTCCGTGGGGTGAGTGGAGGCCCAGAGTGAGACCTCCCAGTGTGTATGGTGGGGAAGGGCTTTCCTGAGAAACTCCAGGCCCCACCCAGTTCTGTCTCCTCGCCGTCAGCATCATACTGCTCACTACTGGTGTGGTCCTGAGAGAAGAGTGCAGTCTCTCTGCCCTGGCAGGCCTCTGCCAGTTCAGCATCCTTGATGGGCAGCTTGTCAGGTGGGTGCTGATGGATGGGGGATGGGGACAGAGCTGGAAGATGAGCACCAGGCTTGTTGTCAGGGGGAGATGACGAGAGCCACAGGTACCCAGCTGCCGAAGCCACTGGTAGAACTGCCTCCTGATCACTGGGTGACGCTGTGGGGCCCACAACTAACCCTCCTGTGCCATCTGCCACTTGCCCCAAGGGAGGCGAGCCCACATCGTCTGGGTTCTCCAGGAGGGATACAGAGAGGGGAGCCATCAGCCCAGAAGCATATTCAGAGCATGTACCCGATTCTCCCCCAGAGTCTTCTTGGAAAGGGTCATTATTTTTCACGGTTCTGGTCACTAGAGCCAGGCTGTCTTCGCTGAGTGCTCTCAGAGGTGTGCTGACGATGTCTCCTTGGTCTGGGGACCCAGGTACAGCGATGTGGGACAGTGACACAATGAAACTGTCCTCTTCTGGTGATGGTGAGCTGCCCTCAGCCTGCCCTGGAATCTTATTTCTGAGATCCAATGCTGCATCTCCCCTGAGTTTTGGGGTCCACACAAAATCTACCTGTGAGCAGTAAGGCTTCTCAGCCAGGCTGCCCCTGGGGGAAATCACTGAGGAACTGGAGTCCTCTCTGCTCCAGTCCAAGAGCACCTGACCGGAGCTGCAGCCAGGACCGGGCACTGCTGTTCGGGGTCTTGTGGGGTCACTGGAGCACGTCCAGCTCCTAGGTAAGTCCTTCTCGTCCCCATCTGTCTTGGGGTGAAAACACAGACTCTGCGGCCTCCCGGCTACCTGCTCCACAGGATTCTGCTCCCTCTGATGAAGAAAGAATGAGTCCTCGCTGTTCTCTAAGGTGTTTCTTTGCTTTGTGGTCCTCTGACTGGAGACATGTGAAAATGAATCTTCACTGAAATCACTGTCATCAAGGTCTTCAGCTTGGGCCCCGTCATGGCTCTCAGAATAAGAGCGGGATGGAGGGGAGGTCTCATTCACGAGCTGACCTCCCTGGGGCCTGTGCTGGCATAAAAGTCTTTCTAGTGGTTGGTACTTTAATTTCTGTTGGAGGAGAGGTGGCTGCTGAAATTGCTGGTGATAAAAGCGCAAATGTTCCTCCCTCTCCTTCTGGTGTGGAGGGATATTTGTCCAAGCTTCAGAGGCAGGCCTGGCCAGTGGGCCTCCCTTGCTGTCCTGACTGGACTCTGCTAAGTGGTGGATGTCCCCAAAGGAGAGCTCCCCCCGGGACACAAGCTGCTTCTGCACCGGCTGCACGGTTTGCACTTTCTTGCACTTGGCAGGCTGCTTCCCACGCACCAGGCCTTCTCCTGGGCTAGGGGTCCTGCCTCCCCACCCTAGGACAGTTTTGTTGCTGATTTGATTTTTCTCAGAGCATGATGGTGCTGAATCTTCCGCCTTTTTTTTGACCAAATGCCCAGGCGCCGTGGATCCTTTGACAGGGCTAGTCTGAATGACCCACTCTTGGGGAGGACTTCCTCTGGAGCCACCCTTTTTACCAGGGGCTTTAGGTAAAGCAGAAGCAAATGGGATGTTGGGTGGGTGGGCAGCCAGAGGCTGAGCCTTCCCGCGCGAGGAACCAGATGCTGCTGAGAGTGATGGCTGGAGTCCGAGCTTGACTTTCTTGGGAGAGCACTTGTCCCCTGGCAGAGCCACAGGGGAGCTCTGAATGCGTTTTGGAGAGGAGTTTCCAGATGTCCGATTTCGACTGGTGGCTGCGGCACAGCATTTCAGACCTTTCTTTAGTTCTTTCACCCTGTAAAGGATCACTTCATGTTAAATATATAGTCTCTTACATTATGTGCTAGCTTTCAGGGAAAAAAATGTAACAGCAAAATATTCCAAGGGTTGAGATCTATATTGTTTTATCTGAAAGAGTCAGAGGAAATGGAGATTCTACTTTAGGATGAGATAACTTTCTTTAGCTGAACAAAAGAAACCAGCATCTATCTTGTCTGATATGAGAATGGGACCAACACTCGAGGATCACTGTTGCAGCTAGCTGTATGCGGTACAGTCAGCTCCAACTCCTAGTGATCCTGTATAGGGATTCCAAGGCAATCTTTATGGGAGCAGAAAGCCTCATCTTTCTCCTGTGGAGTGGCTGGTGGATTTGAACTGTGGACTTTGTGGTTAGCAGCCCAACACCTAACCCATCACATCACCAGCAGCTCCCTTTTTCAGAGATTAGGAAATCACCACAGCCCCACGAGAGGGACAAGCTAGGAAGCCAGCCAGCCCCAGAACTGCATGCAGGGCCCATGTTGTGCTTCTTGAAGATGGGCCCACTCCAGAACCCCATGTCTACCACTCACTCACTAGACCACCATCAGAGCTCTCTTTTCCTGAAAACCACTCTGCCTCCAGGCTTCTCCCCGGAACCTGCCAGGCAGTTAAGGAAACACAAAGATGCCAGAAATATACAGGCTGGTGCTAATTACATTAGATTCATCTATCTCAGAGTTTCTCAATCTTAGCTTTACTGATGTTTTGGGCCAGATCATTCTTTGTTGTCCTGGGTATTATAGGATGTTTAGCAGCACCCTGGGCCTCTGCTGACCAGATTCTAGTAGTACTTTCCCCAAGTCATGACAATACAAATGGTGTCCAGACATTGTCAAATGTCCCCTGGGGGGCAATATTGCCCTGCTTGAGAATCCTGCTCTATTCCACAGGGGGATTTTAGGGAACATGGAAAAATCTAGAATTAGGTCTCTGCTAGGATTCTGTTGCCAAGGTCAGAGTCTATTGCTCTGTGCTACTTAAAGCAAAATAAACACTGTAAGGATGTAGAATTACAAGACAGCATCCAGCTAAACTGACGTCCAGTGGTTTGTAATTTCTGCACTCAAATGCCCTTAGGAGGGAGCAGTGCTACTGCTTAGTGAGCTCCTGGAAAACGTCTTTTCCCTATTTCTGGGTTTAATCCTATCCACAGTGAGAGGCTTGGTCACTTCTGAAAACCAAAGTATCAGGTTGCACTGAGACTTGACAGAAAGGCAGGTAACAGTTGAGCAGAGATGCGGGGTATGAATGAATGCATGTGGAATGTGCCTGGGCTTTTTCTTAGGTGTTGTCATAGTGCAGATGTATGAGGATTGGACTGAGAGGTGCCACAGCAAATCTAGATACCTCATTGCTTCCCCTTACAAAAACTCATTAATAGTGAAACACTACAGTTTCCTCCTAGAAGTCATAGTAAATAATTCCAGAAACCTGAGTGCCTGAAGGAGTCTTACAAGCACTTCGGCCATTGATGCTAAAGGCTTCTCAGGTACACTGCCTGTTTACCAGAACTGCTCCTGTCAATACACTGGAGACTTAGGAGATGAGCATTTAACTCAGAGGCAGAGATCATTTATGTTTGTATGGATTTCTACTTAGAACTATAATTTTAATACGCCATTGGAACCACATAAAATAATAGCTTTCATATTTATTTTTAAAACTACTTTGAATGGGAGAGATTAATCCTACTGTACTTTTTCTAGTCTTTTTTTTTTTTTAAACCAAAATTACTTCAAATTAGTTTTTCAGTTATATTCAATATGGAGTCCTGGGATGATGCTGTAGGGTCAGCATTGGACTGCTAACAACAACGTTAGCAGTTCAAACCCACCAGCTGCTCTCAGAAACCCTAGACAGGGTTGCTATGAGTCTGAACCGACTCAATGACACTTGGCAACAACAACATGCTCGACTTCTCTCTCACGAGACAGGGTCATTTCATCTTCCCTCACTGAAGCACTGAGAGGTGATGTTTTAGTTTCTGTTTCAAATCATGAAAAGTTAAGAACTTCAAGAGATTGATAGGATGTCTTGGATTTGAGGATTAGGTGGGGGTATGAAAGAAGATTGGCTTAGAGGTCATAATTGTTGAAGTTAGGTGGTAAATACATAGACATAAAGAACTTTAATTTTTTGGGTAAAAATTTTAAACTTCCAGTTTTGAACTCATCAACATCTCCACTAGAGAAGAGCTATGGTGGTCTGCTTCCATAACGATCCCAGCTTCGGAAACTATCTGAGGCAGTTCTATTCGTTCTTAAAGGGTTGCTATGTGTCAGAGTTAGTGGTTTTGTTTTTTCACAGATGAGGAAATAGAGGCCAAGAGAAGTTGAGAACTCAGCTAGCTAATGGCAGAGTCAGGAAACTGACTCTAGAGTCCACTCTTGGGAACTACTTCTACTAAGTGAGATAAGTAAGGCACGTGGAATGCCTCACTCACAGCCTGGCACCCAGTGGGAGCACCTTCTCTCATACATAAGTATTTACTGAACAGCTACTAGTACTTGTTATTATTAGATGCCATCAAGTTGGTTCCAACTCATAGTGACCCTATGTACAACAGAATGAAACACTGCCTGGGTCCTAGCAGCTACCAAGTACTGTCTGGACACAAAGGATATAGTGGGAAAAAAGAAAATAAGGTTTTTGTTCTTACGGAACTTAAATGAAAGCTCACCTCTCCCTCCCAATAGGTTTCATAAAACGCCACAGATACTAAAGATGCCCAAGTAGTGATAAAAACCATATTTGCCTCAAAAAGTCTCCTAATTTGGGAGACTTCTAGGAGTTTCTGGAAGAATAACGAGGAGATTCAAGGCAGGACCAGGAAGCAAAATAATCAAAGGACAAGATGGTAACAAGAGCATCTTCACCCACTATACTGTGACCACTGAGTCAGAGAGGAACGGGACCCTGGCAGATACTAAGGTCACCACAGAAAGAGCCCAACTAGACAGGTGTGGCAGCTTTGCCACTAACCCGATAAATCGTGAGAAGTTCCTGTCTTTCTCTAGACCTCAGGCTAGCCTTCTGTAACATGTGTAGGTTGGTTGCTTCTGGACCTACATGGTTCAAAGTGATTATGATTTAACCAGTAGTACATATTCTATTCCTACAATCAGGGCTGAAGCTTTCTACCCCAGAGAAAGAGTCCATCTCTCACTAGCTATTTAAAAGCTACTGACAGATATGTTAGAAATCAGTTCTTGAACAAGGAAATGTGTCACCTTCCACTTGTCACAATTGCAAATGGCAGGGCCTGCATATTGGGGTCTAAAAACAAGCTTATGGTGTGAGAAGCACACACGTACATACAACTAGCCATCAGCAAGCCAACTCACCGGTCAGCATAGCGTAAAGTATTCAGAGTGTGCTCAGTGGCCATGTGGCTTGGTGAGATGTTGGCAATCATGCAGGTTTTGGCATCACCAATGAAAGAGTCCTTCAGGACCTGTTCAAAACAGAAGGCATGTCAGCAAATGCAGAATAAACTTACCAAGGGTCTATTGATTCCTTACTGTATGCAGGACTTGGGCCATCATCTCCCTCTGTACACAAAGGCAATTCAGAAAAGAAATAAAAAAGACCAAAAAAACCACCAAAACCAGGTACTCATGTGGCCTATTTTTTAAAGAAATGCAAACAAACAACATAAAAAAATATAATACTTATCACCTACAAAATTTAAAAGAACTGACAGTACAAGGAGCCATGGGAATGGGCACTCTCCTACACTGCCCATGTACCATATGCCATGAACCACTTAATGGTTTCTGAGGGCCTTTACCAATATGAGGACTACCACAGGTAAAACATGTGGACTACTGGTGTGGCAATCACACTTCTAGGACTTGACTTTAAGAAAAGAATCACTCAGTAGATAGGGGTAAAAAAAAATGTATTCAAAGATATTCATCATAGCTTTGTAATAATCAAATGGGAAATAATCTCAGTGTCTATAAATAGGGAGGAAATTAAATAGGAAGAAAATGAATACAATAGAGTCATTTAAAATAATCATGTGTATTTTCCATTTCTTGATGTTAGGTGCCATTGAGTCAGTACTGACTCATAGAGACCCTATGTACATCAGAACGAAACACTGCCCGATCCTAGGTCAACCTCACAATTGTTGCCATGCTTAAGCCCATTGATGCTGTCACTTTGACAATCCATCTCGTTGGGGGTCTTCCTCTTTTGCTCTAACCCTCCACCCCATCAAACATGATCTCCTTCTCTAGCATCCTAACACTATGTCTGAAGTATGAGAGATGAAGTTTGGCCATCCTGGCCTCCAAGGAGCACTCTGGCTGCATTTTCTTCCAACACAGATCTGTTTGTTCTTTTGGCAGCCCATGGCACTTTGAATATTTTCCAATATCATAACTCAAAAGCATCAATTCTTATTCAGTCTCCCTTATTCATTGTCCAGCTTTCACATTCATATGAGGTTACTGAAAATACCACAGCTTGAGTCAGGCACACCTTAGTCCTCAAGCTGACATCTTTGCTCTTCAACACTTTAAAAAGGTCTTGTGCAGCAGATTCGCATTACGTCGTCTGATTTCTTGACTTCTGCTTCCGTGAGTGTTGATAGTTGATCAGAGAAGAATGAAGTCCTTGACAACTTCAATCTTTTCTCTGTTGATAAGAATGTTGTTTATTGGTCCAGTGGTGAGGATTTTTGTTTTCTTTACATTGAGATGCAATCCATACCAAAGGCTACGCTCTTTGATCTTCCTCGGTAAATACTTGAAATCCTCTTCATTTTCAGCAAGGTTGTATCATCTGCATATCACAGGTTGTTAATGAGTCTGCCTCCAATTCTGATGCCACATTTTTCTTCATATAACCCAGCTTCTCAGATATTTGCTCAGCATACAGGTTGAATAAGTATGGTGAAAGAATACAACCCTGTCACACATCTTTCTTAATTTTAAACCATTCAGTATTTCCATGTTCTGTTCGAACAAATGCCTCTTGGTCCAGGTACAGATTCCTCATGAGCACAATTAAGTGGTCAGGAATACTCATACTTTGCAATGTTGTCCATAACTTGTCATGATCCACACAATTGAAAGCCTTTGCATAGTCAATAAAGCACAGGTAAACATCTTTCTGGTATTCTCTGCTTTCAGTTGATCCACTGGACATCAGCAATGATATCCTTCGTTTTACATCCTCTTCTGAATCTGGCTTGACCCTCTGGAAGTTCTCTTGTCAATGTATGCTTGCAGTTGTTTCTGTACTGCCTTTAGTAAAACTTTACTCTCATGGGGTATCAAAGATATTGTCCGATGATTTCTGCATTCCGCTGGGTCACCTCTCTTTGGAATGAGCACAAATATGGATCTCTTACAAGTCGGCCAGCTAGCTGTCTTCCAAATTTCTTGGCAGAGATGAGTGAGTGCCTCCAGTGCTGTTATCACTTTCTTGAAAGATTTCAATTTTTATTCCATCAATTCCTGGTGCCTTCTTCTATGCCAATTCCTTCAATGCACCTTGGACTTCTTCCTTCAGTATCATTGACTCTTGATCATATGCTACTTCCTGAAATGGTTGAATATCAACCATTTCCTTTTGGTACAGTGACTCTGTGTACTCCTTCCATCTTTTTTGATGCTTTCTGCAGCATTCAATAATTTTCTCAGAGAATCCTTCAATAATTAAAGTAGAGGCTTGAATTTTCTCTTCAGTTCCCACAGCTTGAGAAATGCTGAGCATGTTCTTCCCTTTTGGTTTTGACTCCATATCTTTGCACATTTTGTTGTAATATTTGGCTTTATCTTTTTAAGATGACCTTTGTAATTTTCTGTTCAGCTCTTATATTTCATTTTTCCATTTGCTGGAGACCAAGTTTCAGTGTCTCTTCTGACAGTCATTTTGATCTTTTCCTTCTTGTCTTCTCAATGACTTTTTGCTCCCTTCATGTATGATGTTCTTGATGTCATCCCACAACTTTTCTGGTCTTTGGTCTTCAGTGTTTAACGTATCAAATCTGTTCTTCAGATATCTCCAAATTTAGGTGGGATATATTCAAGGTCAAATTTTGGCTCTTGCAGACTTGTTTTTATTGTCAATAAAGCTTCAGTTTGAATTTGCATATGAGTAATTGATGGTCTGTTCCACAATTTACCCCTGACCTTGTTTTGACTGATGATATAGAGCTTTTCCATCATCTCTTTCCGCAGATGTAGTCAATTTGATTTTTGTGTATTCCATCTGGTGAGGTCCATGTGTATAATCGTCTCTTATACTATCTAAAGAAGGAATTTGAAATGAACAAATCATTGTTTTTTCAGAATTCTATCAGGTAATCTCCAGCATCATTTCTATCACCAAGGCCATATTTTCCAACTACTGATCCCTCCTCTTTGCTCCCAACCTTTGCATTCCACTCACCAGCAATGATCAATACATCTTGATTGCATGTTTGATCAGTTTCAGATTGAAGAAGCTGGTATAATTCTTCTATTTCATCCTCACTGGCTTTAGAGGTTGGTGCGTAAATTTGAATAATAGTGGTATTAACTGGGCTTACCTGTAAGCGCATGGATGTTAACCTATCACAGACAGCATTGTACCTTATGACTGATCTGGATATGTTCTTTTTGACAATGAATGTACACCATTCCTCTTCAATTTGTCATTCCCGGCATAGAAAACCATGTGGTTGTCAGATTCAAAATGGCCAATACCAATCCATTTCAGCTCACTAATGCCTAAGATACCGATAATTATGCGTTCCATTTTTGACAATTTCCAATTTTCCTAGATTCATACTTCGAACATTCCATGTTCCAATTATTAATGGATGTTTACATCTGTTTCTCTTCATTTTGAGTTGTGTCCCATCAGCAAATGAAGGTCCCGTGGACTTCACTCCATTCATGTCATCACAGTAAACTCTACTTTGAGGAGGCAGCTCTTCCCAGTCGCACTGAGTGCCTTCCAACCTGAGGGGCTCATTTTCTGGCACTATATCTGACAGTGTTTCTCTGCTAATTCATAAGGTTTTTAGTGACTAAGTAATTGGAAGTAGTTTGTCACTCCTTTTTCCTAGTCTGTCTTCGTCTGGAAGCTCATCTGAAACTTGTCCACCATGGGTGACCCTGCTGGTATTTAAAATACCTATGGCATAGCGTCCAGAATCACAGCAACTCACAAGCCACCACAGTATGACAAACTGAAAGACGATTGGCTTGCATTTAAGTACATGGAAAGATAACTAAAAATTATCTTTGAGTGAAAAATGTGTCTGATTCTGTAAAACTGTATGTAGAACTTTGATGGACTTTGTGGGCTGGGAGATGCCCAGAAGGACGTTCACTAAAATTCAGCAGTGGTTCACTGAGCGCTTGAATTTTCAGGTGACTTTATACTGGTAAAAGTAATGTTTGAACTTAAAAAAAAAAATAAGAGTCACTGTCAGAATCAGGACTAATGGCATACGAGAGGTTGAGAAGACTCATCTAACCCACAGTCACCAATTCTGACTAGTAAGGAGTGGAGGTGTTGCAAGCTCTGCCAGATTCTGTGGAGTCACTAGGTTAACTGCACAAAATAGTGACTACTCCTCTTGGTTGGTAGCAGGCTTCATTCTGCAGACTAGAGAGAGCCTCTCCTAGAGGGGCCTCATTCCAGCTAGTGGGGTCTCCACTGTGCAAGGACACTGCAGAACCCAACCCAGGACATCTGTACCCAAAGAGGCCCCTCCACATGCCCCTCTTCTGAAGGCACTACTGATGCAGACTTAATGTCAACTGGTGTTTTCCGTTACTAAAGAAAAGCACAGGTTTTTTAACAGAAATATATGAGAAAAAAGTTACTAAGTATAGTTCCACCACTCAGAAAAATCACAGTTCACATCTGAATAATTTTTCTGTGTGCTTTTCTCCCTCATTGCATGTTTTTTTGTTTTCAATTATAAAAACAACAGGTGACTACAGCATACATAAATTATAAAGTGAGATGCTTTAAGTTCCATCTTTATCCTCATTATCTACAGAAATAGCCAATGGTAATTGCTTCTTCTGTATCCTTCTAGGTTTTTTTCCTATGTGGCTATATATATATATATATATATATGTTGTTGTTGTTGTTGAGTGCCATCGAGTCGGGTCCGACCCATAGCGACCCTGTACAGGGTTTCCGAGGGTGTAAATCTTTACGGGAGTAGAAAGCCTCATCTTTCTCCCGCGGAGCTGCTGGTAGTTTCGAACCGCTGACCTTAAGGTTCGCAGTCCGATTCGTAACCACTACGCTACCAGAGCTCACTATATATATATGTATGTATATATATATGTTGTTGTTTAGTGCTGTCGAGTTGGTTCTGACCCACAGCGACCCTGTATAGGGTTTCCGAGGAGCAGCTGGTAAGCTTGATCTGCCGACTCTGCCGACCTTGCAGTACAAACAGCTTTGCAGTCTGGCACATTATGCTACAGCGCCACACCAGGACTATATATATATATGAAAAAATGTTTTAAAATCATAGACAATCATATTATTACATTGTTCTATAGCTTACTTTTCAAATAACAATGGATCTGAGCCATCTTTCCTATTAATAGATGTAGATTAGAAATGAATAACTTATTCTTTTTATCAGCAGTCATAATTTTTTTGTTCTGAAACACTGATTGAAGTCTTACAGCAGGAAAGTACCAAGTGCAGCACACACTCCTTCACAGGCTCAGAGACGGCACTACACCAACAGAGTTTATGTACATTGGAAAGAAACAGTTGCTGGGTGTTGGCCAGAAGAAGGCTGCTGCATGCTCTTTTACCAGGGAGCCATAGCACACATCAGATTCTGGCTGTCCCGTACTGCAGGCATCTCTGCCACTGAACCAGACTGGAGGGGCTCCTTCCTTTCTCTTTTCTCCACTATGCCTAGTATCATGCCTCATTCACCAGAGATGTTCTGCTGAACAAACAGATAACTGGAAGAACAAATGCATGAACCTGCAGCATTCTCAAAGCTCACACTTTACTGTACCTGAGTTAGCTTGCTTTGCCTGAAAGGAGTGTGGGTATGTTCTTGATCCAATGCTCGGATACATTCCTTCAACTGCAAAACAGGAGGAAAGTAACAAGTACATCAGATAGTGGAATACAGAGAAAAAGACAGATCAGACGCTATGTCCACAAGAAGCTTACTTTTGCTAAATAAACCACACTCAGGAAATTCTCCAAAAGGAAGTCAAAGTGTCCTGGTAGTTTCTTGTTCACCAAGAAAAGTCAAGCTAGTATTCGAATCACTACCTGTGCTGCCTATCTTAGGGTCTTCCAACAGAATGCTAGGCTGTGATCCTAGGTTAGGTCTGAGTTGATGATGAGGGAGAGATGAAGCAAAGAAACTATTCTCAAGTGCCTGAGGCCACGCTTCTGTCGTGGAAAGACACGGGAGTTCTGGCTTGTAGGCTCCCCTTCTCTCCTCTTCCCAACTACAGATGAGCTTAAGTGGAGAAATTATCTCCTCTTCACCCCCAAATACCTAAATTCATGCTGGATTCAGATATAAATTGACTCAAGGGGTAGGTGCAATTATAGAAAGTTGGAGCTGGAAGGGGCTTGAGAAATTACCCAGGACTGTCTGGTAAGGTAGAGGGTCAGAGAAAAAGAGGAAGACCCCCAACGAGATGGATTGGCCAGGTGGCAGTGTCGATGGACTCAAGTGTGGCAACAGTAGTGAGGTTGGCCCAGGATCGGGCAGTGTTTCGTTCTGCTGTGCATAAGATCACTATGGGTCGGTACCGACTCGATGGCACCTAAGAATAACTCCCTAATTTTTAGAAAAGCAGGACAACAAAAGTGCCAGCAGAGCCCCAGATATGCAGAGCTGCAGGGGCAACAGCAGGAAGAGCGGGGTTCGTCTCAAGCTGTCACGCATCCTAGCTAAAGGTAGTAAACAAAAAGGAAAAGAGGGAAGAGGACAGAAAGAATCTCTTAGAAGTGCCGAGCTGGGGGTTTACCAAGAAGAAGAGATAATTGGCTTTGAGAGTTTGCTAGGGTTGCTCTTAGTGGCAACTAGAGGCCTGGAGCTGAATTCACAGTACCTGATCTCACTCTGTCCTGAAGGATATAAGAAAGTATAAGACAATTTCCTCCTTTATCACAAATCAATCCAAAAGTCCCAAATTTTAACAATGGAAAGAACCTCTAGAAGGGATAACAGGTAAGCAGACTCTTGATCCTAGGTTAAATCTACCCTTGGGGCCTCTCAATGTTACATACACTTAAGTCCAAATGTGGCCACCAACCCCGATCAGGAGCTGGGTCTCTTATAGCCTTGCGGAATCAGAATGGAATGGTCAAGAGGATTTACTAAATAACTGAGAGAGAAACAACCGGCACCTTTTACACCTGACAAAACACAAGCTTTTATTCTACTCTAGAAGGCTTGTTCCTAGGCTCCTCTGCATGTCACAGTCCATTTGAGAAGGACATAGTCAAATACCAAAGGGTTGGTACAGCTTTGTAGCTACTCCTTCCCAGGATCCAGTTGATTCTAAGACCATCATGTAAAATACCAGAATCAGGGATTTTGGGCTATAGGCTATGAACTTTTGGCAAATTTACTTATGCCTTTTGAAGCACAAAATCCGTATCTGTAAAGTGAGGATAAGGGAATTTGCCTAACTAACAAGCTTGTTGTGAAGATGAAACTGACTCATATATAGTAAATGCTAAAAATATGTTGGTTCTGGGGTCCTTTGGAGAAATGCTGATTTCAAGATGGGATAAGAAAAGTGTAAGATGGGCTTGAAATATCTTGTAGTGCCAAATAGTAACGAGGGGCTCAAAAAATGATGAGGGTACATCAAAATAATATAGGAGCCAACTTGAAGGAGTGTATGATATCCAAATCTGAGGTAATCTGTGCAATAAAGTAATGGTAATGGATTACATATAACTCAGCAAATAAAATAAATATCCATTTATTGAAATAGATAAATAAAACTAGGACAACTTTCCCTTACAACAAAATTCCAATTAATAAATTTCAAAGGAATGATGGGAATAGAAACTCTGAATAGGCAAACAACACAGTAATAGCGTTGCAAGTAAGAATCATCAGTGGATGCTAAAATGAGTGACCAAAAGTGTGACATAAAGTAAGATACTTTCACGATCTCAAAACAACTTCCCACAAGATATTCAGACATTATAAAGGGGAAAATTTTATAAAGGAAAAGCTGAGCAGACTCCATAGTAACAAAGTGATCAAGGGTAACTTCGTCAGTAATACGAGATGGGCATCACGTACCACTTGATGTGACACACTGAGAAACGTATCCCTTTATCCCTTCTGTGGAATTCTTGCCAAAAACACATAACCTCAACCTAATCAGGAGAAAACATCAGACATACCCATCAAACAAAATTCAAGGACATTCTGGAAAATCTCTGACCAATATTCTTCAAAGATATTCAAGGTCAAGAATGTTAAAAGCTGAGGCAGCTACAGAGACACCTAAAGGCAACAGGGGATCTGGACTGAACTCTGGCCCTGAAACAGACCACGAGTGGGACTCCTGGCAAAATTCAAGCAAGGTGAACTTCCTGATTTTATAGACTGTGCAATGTTATATTAAATGTTAATATTAGGGAAAGTGAGGTGAAGGGAATACAGAAATGCTAGATACTATTTTCACAACTTTTTTTTTTATAAATATAAAATTACTCAAAATTAAAAACAATGATAATAAAAAGATGTTGGCTCCCTCTCCCACATTTCTTATCCTCTCAATTCATTCTTATGAGGCCTGGAAAGAATGTGCCTAGCTGGAGACTCAGTTCTGAGCAAGAAGACGTAAATGAAATGAAGGGATTCAAGGCAGTACCATGGTCTATAAAATGGAATGAGGAAGATCTCTACTTATGACCACGGAGCAATGTGTCCAGGATATTTCAGAGGAATAAAACCCCAAGGTGCATAACAGTGAGCAAATAATCTGAAAAGCTTTACTATATGAAGAAAAATGTGGCATCAGGATTGAAGACAGGCTCATTATCATAATTGTGTTATGCAGATGATACAACCTTGCTTGCTAGAAGCAAAGAGAACTTAAAATACTGAAGTATATCAAAGACTACAGCCTTCAGCATGGACTGTGTACCTCAATGTAAAGAAAACAAAAATCCTCATAACTGGATCAATAAATAACATCATGATAAATCGAGAAGACTGAACTCGTCAAAGACTTCATTTTGCTTGGATCCACTATCAAATGACATACTGCATTAGGCCAATCTGCTGCACAAGACCTCTTTAAAGTGTTCAAGCTAAGATGTCAGTTTGAGGACTAAGGTGCACCTAATCCAAGTCATGGCATTTTCAATAGCTTCATATGCATGTGAAAGTTGGACAATGAATAAAGAAAA